GAACATATTCTGCCTTTTAGTTTTTTAGTGTCTTAACTTTTATGAATTGATTACTGCAGTGATTAACCACACACATTTTTAAGTTTACAAAAGTAACTCAACTCACAGTGGTAAAAGTTCAGAAATCATTTCAGTAAATGCCAAAGTTTAGACAGTTGTCCAGCTGCTTGTGTTCTAGAAACGGGATGAGAGCCGTCACGCAGGATACGATCTGCAATAGCTGCCACTTCTGACATATTCTACTCTCTCCAATTGTCTTCACTGGGTTTCTTTCGCTTCCTTCCAATTTTGCTACAAACTACTCTCCTGTATGCCTCATACGAGAATTCAGAATGACAGGCAGAGACTTAGACAGTCCTGCTCTCGCTGGGTTAGATGGGGTCTGTTTAAAGGCTGCACACACATGCTGTACCCGTCCCTGCGGACTGCAGCGGGACGTCTCCAGCCCATGGGCTCACTGAGAACCAGAGCAGTTACTGCCTGATGGTGCAAGGGTCCAGACTCCCAAACGGCTCTTTTAGACTGTTTGCTATTGAGTGCTCACAAAATCATCAGGACACCAACTTGCAAAGAAGTTAAGAGTGCGGGCAGCTCTAATTCCATTCAGTTCCATGACGTAGTAGTTTGGACATAAAATTCAGCATGTCCCATGTATCTCGTCACACCCTAAGATATGCTGTATCGGATACACAACGTATACTTGTAAAAAAACCTGTATAAATAATTTTTGTGACGTATTCCATTCATGTTTCTAATGTTTATTTTGACAATTGCATGAATCCATATTTAAAGGACAGACAACGGCAGCTTTGAAAACACTCTTGTGAGAATACATATTCTTATTTCCTTCTTTTGTGGCTAAATGGACACAATTCCAACGACGTGCAAACGGTGCAAGGCCTACAGGAAGGCATGCCGTTGTGCCTTTCAGGAATCCATCTCCCTTTGTCGTCAACTTTTCACTTGTCATTTACTGTAAATCAGTTTTGCTGTTTTAATTTACAATCCTAAATTAAACCAGCATATATTTGTGCTGCCGAACGTAAAACCTAGCTTGCTTTCTGCTTTGCTAAAGACAAACAAAAAATTACCTAACACTAATTTGGACCATTAACTTCTTATGGCTACTTACATGAACGAAGTAAGGCTACATTTCTTCCAAATAGGAACTGATACTGTAGAGACAACACTGAGAGTGCTATTTACTGTCAGTGCTGTGCATTTATATTACCAGTTTACAGAAAGATTTAAAACCAGGCCTTATTTCCTCACGTCAGACCAAAACAATCTGAAGACAAGCCTGCAAGAGCTTAACAACCATATAAAATCTGAATCAAGCACACAATTAATACTCAGTACATGTACAGTGTAGCATTTGTTTCCAAATCCATTTTGATGTAATGGTGTCTTCTGAATAGCGCCCTGCAGCAAACAGATATTTTCTGCTCTTTAACTCAACACTATTCTGTTTCCATTTCAGTTTTATAGTATGTAGACCTGAAACTCAACTAACCCAACTCAGATTGCCTTCTTTTCGTACCTTGTAAAAATAAACGTTTTCTTCAATATTTATGAACAAACTGTAATATGAATTGTATGCCATAATTCGTTTTACAAACATTTTGCCTTTGCCCTGCCACAAAATATCCCACGTTTGATGTTTCAAAATTAATGGCCGCCCAGTTTGATACCTGCCTGAGCATAAATCTGGCCAAACTGCCCACAATGGATGTTACAAAGAATTTTTTTTTTCCTAATAAATATGCCAAAAAAAGCTTTACAAAAAAACCTCTCAGAATGAGTTTTTATTTTCCCTGAGATTCAGCATTGATAAAGATTATGAAAAGGATTAACCACAATGTGGCATTCCAAATATGTTATTTTCCTATCAAGATTTTTACTGTAGTGGCACTGACACATAATCAACAGCAGATTATTTTTACAACATTTTATTTTTCCTTCTTGAAACTGTGTACATGTTCTATGAAAGGTTAGAGCAGAAATATAGCCTGGTACTACATTTGATTTTAATTGGAAAGTGACTCACATGACTTAAGAGTAGGGAAAAGAACAGAGCAGGGAGACCATACAGGTAAACGGTGGACCCCCTCCCCCTTGAACATTGCTGGCTTTTTCCCAATGTTGCAGTTAAGTTTTAATTAAATGGTCCAACAATTATGTTGAAAAAGCCAGCTGGGTTTTTTTTTTCATGACAGAGAACATAGGAGGTGGGAACATAGTGAAATAAAGGGAACTAGTTACTGAGGGAAAGGCTGTAGATCTGACTCAACTAGCAACGAGTTCAAAAAGCCTTACAGTGTTTTGTACAGTTTTAATCAGTCTGTGATGAATGCTACTGTTTCAAAAAGTGTTTCATTAAAGCAGCTCCATTTTTACACAAAAGAATGGCATCTTTGTTTGTTTACCTTTTATTGCCATCTCAAGACTCCGTACAAACGATCGCCGTAGTATGAAAGCAGCACAGAAACAGAAGCACAGCTGTACCTCTGGCACGCGCAAGCTGAAAACTCAACCCACAGAGACTGGGAGCTTTCCCCTGCTCCTCCCCCCCAACTGGTTTGCACTGGAGGGGTGGGGAAGAGCTATGTGGTATGGTTT